ATATATATATATATATATATATATATCTGCGACTTATCACTCTAGGTACAAAACTCTGCACAAACAGACTCTTCGCAAGGTGACTGCTTACGTCCGAAATGGTTTCTATGGCAACCACCTGCAATGCAATGCACGTACCAATGTCTTCAACTGATGCGTCATGATTTATAAGGCATCGACCACGCACTCACTCATGCCTTAGACACAGACGTGTACGACATGACTTATGCTAGTATTGGCTATACTTATATGAGTATAGCATAAACTGTACCTAAGTATATCATAAGCTGTACTCACACTGTATAGTGTAGCGTGTGATATGTTAATTTTGGAAGAGTATAGTATAAATTATACTTATATTGTATGCGTATATCATAAGCTATGCTGTACAGTATAGTAAAAGCCATACTCGGTGTTTGTCTGAGTTGTGTAGGTATAAGTTGTGTAGATATGAGTTGTGTAGGTATAAGTTGTGTAGATATGAGTTGTGTAGGTATAAGTTATGTAGATATGAGTTGTGTAGGTCTTAGTTGTGTAGGTCTAAGTTTTGTAGGTATAAGTTATTTAGGTATAAGTTGTGTATGTATAAGTCGTGTAAGTATAAGTTGTGTAGGTCTAAGTTGTGTAGGTATAAGGTGTGTAGGTCTAAGTTGTGTAGGTATAAGTTGTGCAGGTATAAGTTGTGTAGGTATAATTTGTGTAGGTATAAATTGTGCAGGTCTAAGTTGTGTAGGTCTAAGTTGTGTAGGTATAAGTTGGTACAAATATAAGCTGTACCTGCGCTCGGTTGTCTTCGCCACAGCCCACAGACACGGCCAGCGCCATTCCCTTATTTGGTTTGATGAGTGTTTCGGCCACTGTTAGAGTCTCAATCGACACCTTAAAGCGTCGCTCGATATGGCCCTCCGTCAGCGCTGTGTGAATGTGGGAGAAGTAGAGTTTTGATCCTGCAGGGTTCTATTTTTAGAACAGGGTACAAGGTGGTAAGCGTGGGGTGGGTCTAGGTTTGGGTTTTAGGGGTTTAAATCCGCTCAGGAGGTTCGATGTATAGGTGTTTCATTTTCATGTAAGGGGCTCTGTGTTAAGAATAGAGCTGAACGAGATGTCACGTTTAACGGAATGTACAGATATAGACGTAAACGCACACCAACAAATTACTGGTCTGAACATGCATAAACAACTTGACTTACAAATACGAAAACGCATAAGTAGCTTACAAATGAGAACATACATGAACACCTATAAACATTAATACACATTAACTACTGAGCTTACAAATACAAACACGCATAAGTAACTTACTTATACGAACATACATGAACACTTACAAACATTAATACACACTAACAACTGAACTTACAAATACGAACACGCAAAAGTAACTTACAAATACGAACATACATGAACACCTACAAACATTAATACACAGTAACAACTGATCAAACACAAAACACAAACACACCTGAGCACACCAACAACTTACAGGAACGCACTTGTGCTTTGGCTGTTGCGTGTGCGGGTGGGCCGTAGACATCGACAGTGATGCCCTTGAACTGAATGGCCGGAGGCAAAGCCCAGGCAAGCGTACACAGCAGCACCATCATCTGCTGCAGCGCAGCGAAGTCAAGGGGCTTGCACGCACGCACGACATGGACAGAGTACTGGGATGGGATGGTATGGGATGGAATGTAATGGGATGGAATGGGATGGGATGGGATGGGATGGGATGGGATGGGATGGGATGGAATGGAATGGGATGGGATGGGATGGGATGGGATGTTCAGAGAGTACGTTGTTATAGTGCCAATGGACAGGACATTCAGCTGTATAACACACCACAGCTATAGTAGTATTACACTTATACACAAACACCCAATCACACACACACACACACACACACACACACACATA